AGCCCACCTGCCTCCCCGCTCAGGGGAGGTGGGAAGTTCACCCAGACGTGTAACCCGGATCCTGCCTGCTGCCTTCAACCTGGTCTTTCCAGTTCTGTCCTCGGCCAAGACAGAGCATGGCCATCACCTCCTCCCCAGGACTTGCCTCAGCCATTCCCTTCCCGCTCGTCTCTGTACAGCCTTGGGCAAGATCCCAGGGCCTCAGTTTCCCCTCACGGGAGGAGGCATATGAGTCGGGTAGAAGGAAGACCCTGGAGGACAGAAGTTCAAATCCTGATTCTGCCTCTGCCGGCTATGTGTGACCTTGGGCAGAACGCTTTTGTTCTCTGTGCCTGGGTTTGCCCATCTGTAAAATGGAGCTAGCCCTGACCTGTGTAGGGAAGGGGTATTGTGAAGGTGGTGGGTCGCTGTGAACCAGACCCCGTGTCCGGCATAGTGGGAGTGTTCAGGGTTCCATAAAGCCTCTCACTTCTAAGGCCCCTAGGCCTGCTGGGTGCAGGGACAGTCATGGCAGCGACACCCCTCTCTGTCAGGGTAAAAACTGGGATGGAGGGTCAAGGAGGGAGCAGGGCCCCAGCAAGCTTGCTGGGAAGGTAGGCATTATGGGAAGGAGGGGTGTGGGCAAGGAATGTGGTAGAAAGGCCATCCCGGTGGGAGGGCACTGCAGGGATGGAGCCTGGGCAGGGGCAGGAGGTGGTGTGGAGCTCCATGGGGAGCTCTGGGGAGGGCTGGCTTGCCAGCAGGGCAGGGGGCTCTGTATGGAGGCAGGGCGGAGATGGGCTGTAGGAGATGGACTCTGAAGGCCACACCAAGGAGCAAACCTCTACCTACCAGGGCCACGGGACCCTGTGAGCTCCCACCACAGACAGCATCGGGGTGGACAGCCTGCGCAGCCCTGGGCGGGGGGCAGGTGGGAAGTGGTCCTGGTGCTAAAGCTCAGCTCGTGAGCGAAGTGTGGGCAGGGGCACCCTGCACACAGAGAAAGAGGGAGCCGGGCCTGGCCGGGCATTTCTTGCTCCCCTATACCCATTCTAGAGAGGAAAACTGAGGCCCAGAGCTGTGCAAGCACCCACCCAAAGCCTTTTCCTGTCTTTCAGGCTGTCTCAGCCAGCAGCTGCACCTGAGAATAGGTGGCTGCTCAGGGCAGGGGAGCCAAGTGAAGAGCCAGAGCCCCTGGAGGTCAAGGCCAGGCATGAGCCCCCACTGTTCCCGGCGCCCAGCCTCCAGCGCCACAGAACAAGTGAATGCGCAAGAAATGAATGAAAGCCTGGTAGCCTGCCCACATCCGACACCTGCTTGGTGACTGCCTCTTGGAGCACAGCGGGAAGGCAAGTCTGGAGAAGGAGCGCCCCTGGCAAATGCGGAGAGGCAGGAAGGCACCTGGCATGCCCGGGGCCAGCTAAGTGCAAGGCGACCAGAGCCAAGGGGACAGGGACGCCACTCGGGTGGGAACGAGCCACTGTGGGGGCTGGAGGCTGCCTGGGGATGCTCCTGAAATCTTAGCCTCAGAGGCGGAGCCCGGGGCTGGGGGTCAGGTGGGTCCCCAGGCAGGCTGGGCCGTGTGAGCTCGATGCCTCAGGCAGGGCCCCTCGGAAGGATGTGCCGGGCGGCCCTGGGCGGCCGGGGCTGGGGTTGAACCATGGCCAAGAAGTAAGTACAGTCTGGGCACCGGGGCCGTGGCATTCTCGAAGCTCCTTCCTCATTCCTGGCCCTGTGGGAGTAGCCGGACCCCGGCGTTCTGCTGCAGCCACCGCTGCGGATTTGCTTACCGTCTCGCAGGGAACCGGGGCCTCCTGCCAAACTGCCCAGCCCAGGCCCCAGCCCCACGGGCCCCACTAACCCCCAAGTGCTGGCCTGGGCCACCTCCTGCTCTCGGATGGGGAAACTGAGGCCATATATCGGGTAGGGCCACCCTAGTGGCTGTCCGTGCCCGGGTGTCAGAAGGGAATGGGCTTCGGCTTCAAGTCCAGGGATTTTTGCATCTGTCTCCCCGTCTCCACACCCTCCAGGGACACGTGCTCCTCCAGAAGCCCACTGCGTGGCCCCTCCACTGGGATCTGGGTCTGGGGCCAGGCTCCGTGGGTGCCCCGGCGGGCACAGTGTGGACAGGGCCTTGTTGGATCAGCGGTTCCGCCCGATGCCAGGCCGCCGGGACAGCGGGCAGTGGCCAAACCGGCCCCGCCGCATGCCTTCCAGCCCTCGGCAGGAATGCCATTCATCCTCCTGTGCTCACACGGTTACCACAAGTGCCGAGGCCTGGTGGCACCCAGGCCTCTAGGGAGAAACAGCAGGGCCTGGTGGCCAGCCAGGGGCTGCCTAGCTCCCAGGGGCCTCGGGCTGTCTTCCCACGCCCGGAGAGGGCTAAGAGCACCCCAAGGGGGGCACTTGAGCCAACCCCCCCCCAGACACAACTGATGGACCCGTAGGGATCCTAAGACCTGTCGGGGTCCAAAGCAGAAGGGAGACACAGAGGGAAACAGATGGAACCAGGGCCTCCTGGCTGCGGGTCCCCCACCTCCAAGCCCCCCATTCTCCTAAGAACAGTCCCCACCCAGCCCCGTGAGTTGATTCTGGCACCAGACCCGTGGCCTCTTCTCCCCATACCCGGAGCCCAGGCTGTCCAGAGAGGCCTCCGGGTCTGTGTCCAGCCACCACCAGTGGCCCTTGCTGGGTGGGGTGGCCCCCAAATGTGCCTGGAGGCTTCTATGGCTCAAGGCCTCCCTTGGGACCTGGGCAAGGTGGGAGGACGGAGGTACATGGGCACAGAGCCTGCCCAGCCTGCAGAGAGAGGTAAGGAAGTCAGAAAGGTGGGGCACCTGAGGGCCAAGGCGCTTGAGACTCAGGGTCCTCCGTGGACAGCATGTACGTCCCCACCCCCAGGGGAAAAGAGCTGCAAGGGTGTCGCATGGGTTCCACACACACTCACTTCTGATTCCAGCTTTATTGGAGCCGGGCGCTCCCCTCCAGGGAAGGCAGGACACAGCCCATCCGAAACCCACCAGCTCTCCTCAAGTGGGAGCGCCACAGGGACACACGGGGCCCTGACCGCCGCCGCCCCACCTGGGCCACATTGACCCCCTCTCCCCCAAGGGAAGGGCTGCCGCTGACAGACTATGGAGGAGGGTCTCGGCAGAGGCGCCTGGACAGTGCGCTTGTCAATGGCATCAGGGGTCCCAAGAGTCCGTTTCAAGCAGAAGGAGGAGCCTGGCTCGGGGGAACGCACGAGGCTGTCCCCTCCCTCCAGTACCCAGTGTAGGTCACAATAATTTAAAAGACATGATAGACATTTCAACGCTATAAACAATATAAGTTAACCAGGTTCCTTGGCAGAGGGCGCCGGGCCCGTGGACTCAGAGTGTCCTGGGACCCGGGGAGGTGGGGGGGCCGGGGGCGGGTCATTCACCGTGGCCTGGAAGTACCCGGAACAGCAGCTGATGGGAGTGTCCTGGCATCGTCGGGGGCACATGGGGTAGATGGCAGGGCCAGGGCCCGGACAGGGTCACTCACCCCAGGCTAATGTCTAGCCCACTTGGCTTGTCAGCTGCCTGAGGACACATTTCCACAGGTTTCTGCAAGAAAATACCGTAAATCTGGGGCAGGGGGTGGGCACACGGGCAGTGGAGGGCAGCACACCAGAAGCCACCTTGCCTCCTTTCCGGCAAGTCACCCCCTCGATGCCTCAGACTCCCCGAGGGACAGTGGAGTGCTCACAGAGGACACCTCAGCCCCAAGTCCCAAGGCTCTGGCCTCTCCCCACAGCATGCATGGTTGAGACCTGAGCGGGGGCCCCTTCTCAAGTTTCAGGGTGAGCTGAACTTCAGGGGAGGGTGTGCACCCTGGGAGGGTCTGGAGGGCAGACACCTGCCGGGACAGCAGGCGGGGCCCTGGCCAAGTGACACCCTGGATCCGAGCTTTCCCAGCATCGGAGTCAGGGCCCAAGGAGGAGGACTGGACACGAGGCCGCTAGAGGAACCCCGGCAGGTACCTTTGGGGGTGCAGGTCCCCGTGCAGCTGACAGCAGGGGAGGAGGGGCACAGCCAGATCTCTCAAATCACGGGGGCAGTCTCATGCCACCATGGGGGTCCCCAGGGCACGCAGCCCAGAGTCATAACTTTAGGGTCTCTGGCTCATTCTCGAGCCCTTCTGGGCCTCAGCGCCTGCATCTGTCAAAGAAGGAAGACAGCCCTGAACCGTCCCCACCCCGCCATCCCACTGCCAGCGCAGGGCTGTCCGAGGGTTCCGGCTGGCTCCCAGCGAGGGGCAGGGGGGAGGGTGAGGAAGGGCGGGGAGGGGGCTCTGTAAACTGAGGCTGCCAGGCTGGCGGGGGCGCCGGGCGGGTGACAGCATCGGGGAGGGGACACAGCACTCCTGGAGCCTGACGTGGGTGACATTTTGCTTTGTGTGATATGACGTTCAAGAAGAAAGGTCCCTGTCCATGGCTCTCCTCAGAGGCCCTCTCGGGGCAGGGCCAGAGGGTGCTGTGCACGGGGATGCTCCCCCGGGCCAGAGAGGCGGGGAGAGGAAGCAGAGGGCCACCGGGGATGCGCTAACACGGAGTACAGAGTTAGGACTGGCTATGCCTTGGTGCTAAGAATTCTCTTCTGATACTAAGAACACATAAATAAACTTTGTCAACATCTGCCCAGACCACCCAGAGGCCCCGGCGGCTGATGGGGTCCCGCGTGGCGTCGGCCGGCCGGCATGGCATTTCCACGTCCGTCCGTCCATCCGCCCGTCGGTCCGTGCCGCCAGGTGGGGGAGGGGGACGCTCGGAGTCTCGTCACTCTGCTTTCCAGGAGGGTTCGCTTCCCCAGAGAAAAGCAGAGGAACTCCCTGGGCCCCAGAGGGACACCAGGGCCGTCGGCCTCGCCCTCGCGGCCGGGTCTGGGGCACGGCTCGGCCACAGGAAGCGCCCAGCGGGGTCGGGAGGAGCCCCTGGGGGCGGCGAGGGGCGCCCGGTGTGCGCGTGCGCGTGCGGGCGGGCGGGGCGGGCGCGGCGCTCACTTGCACGTGAAGACCTCGGTGCGCTCGCTGCAGGTGTTGCACTTGACGAAGCAGCACCAGTGGAACTTGCAGTTGCACTGCCACACCTTGGTGTACTGGTGCGTGTTGTAGCCACGGCCGCAGCACATGGTGTCGCAGCCGTCCGCGCCCAGCGACGTGCGGTTGCACAGGCGGCCCTGCGTGCCCACGCTGCCCGTGGCCGCGTCCTCCTCGCAGTAGTTGGGCGACTTCTCAATGTACACCAGGTCCGTCTCCATGGGCTTCTGGTAGCTGCGCAGCTGCTTGATGCGCAGGAAGGTGGGCTGCCGCAGGCGGCTGGCCCGCACCACCTCCACCTGCACGGCCGCGTTGTACTTCTCCTTGAGCATGTGGCCCACCTCGCGGAACTTGGGCAGCGTGGTCCAGCACGTCTTGGTGGTGCACGAGCCCGACACGCCGTGGCACTTGCACTCCAGCTTCATGCGCTCCTCCAGGACCTGCGGGCGACAGGGCAGGAGCTCGGTGTGCGTGGACCACCCCCCCCCAACCGCCTGGGCACCCCACCCCCACCTGCCCTTGCCTCCAGCCTGGCCCCGAGCCGGCACCCCGACTTCCCGCTGCAGGACCACGCCGGAGTGCCTCCCGCTCCTGAGCTTCCCTCTCCTCATCCATGTAAGGGGGCTGCTGACCGTGGGTCCCTACTGCGGGCGACCTTGTGAGGGTCCAATGAGGATGTCCAGGACTTGGCAGAGCACAGTATATGTTTATCAAATGTGGTTCCCTGAATTCTCACAATCCTTCAGGCCAATGCGCTGATGGGGAAACTGAGGCTCGGGAGCGTGGGGCTTGCACCCAGCCAGGTGGGGAGGAGGTGCCTGATGGTGATCCCGGCCCAGCTACAGTAGGTGCTTATTAACTGCAGATCCCCACCTCTCCATCTCTGTCCTCCCTGCCCTCATGCCCAGGGTAGGGCCCAGCATGTAGTTGGTGCTTAATAAATGGCTGTTCAGTGAAAGCGTGGTATTTGCATGGAGCTCTGTGCGTGTCTGCTGAAGGATGGGAGGGGGTGGATGAGCAGGAGGTGAGGGCACGGGTCAGCGAGGCCCAGGCGTGCCACCTGCTGGGAAGCCAGCCCCCGACAGTGTTGTTCTTTCTTCCCAGCTCCCCGAGGGCCCACGATGGGCGCAGCCGTGTGTTTTCCTTGGGCCTCCCTCCGTAGTCCCGGAAGGCCGATTCCCAGAGCCAGCCCTGACCCCAGGTACTCATTTACCTGGATCGAAAGGGCCCTGCCAGCCGGCCTGATTAAAGATGGGGAATCATTAGCTGCCGCCCCACAGCTGAAGAAGGGCCATTTGTCAGCTGTCCCGGCTCTGCTGGCCTCACTTGGGCAGCCCAGCCCTGAGGGAACTTGGCCACCCCCTGCCTCCTGGGCCAGAACCCCAGCCCTGGCCCAGACTAGGAGCCCCACAGTGAATGAATGAATGAATGAATGAATGAGCGGAATATCCCACAGAGCCAACCACTATCCCGATCACTTTCCCTGCCCTACCCTCATGGGCCTCTGGTCCTGGGCAAGGACCACAGGGGCTCACAGTCCAGCACGGGGAACGGAAGAGGAAGCCTACACAAACCGTCAGGTGGGGGCTCTGGGAGCCGCCCCCCGCCATGGTAAGGGGGGTTCCTGGAGGAGGGGTGCCTGCATGGAGTGTGGGTGGAGAAGGAGGAGCTACTCATTAGGCAGAGAGGAGGATGTTCCAGGAGGGTGCAGTGTAGACAAGGCCACGTGAGCGTCATGTGGGTGCTGGGTGGGCCCTGAGGCTGATGTCCTGGATCTGGGGTTGGGGGGGATTCCTGGTCCAGCATTCTGTGGATGATGTCCTGGGGGGGGGGGGCGCCCGGGGGGGGGGGGATAGGAGGGGGGGGGGAGGCTTATGGTCCACCAGGGAAGGACTGAGCAGGAGAGGCCCCCAGTGTCAGGAGGAAGGAATATTCCAAACTGGAACTGCAGGGCCACTGGGTGTCTGGGTTGAGGGCATGGACCAGAAATCTCTGGGGGTCTAGGGAAGGGTGGGACCCCCTCCAGGGGAAAGCATATCCTCTCTGCTTCCTGCCCCTCTCCCCTCCCTCACCCCCACACCATGTTCCTCTCTGCTTCAACTCTCCCCTCCCCAGAAAGACCCTGCCCCCACCAACCTGCCCTTCAAGGCCAGGAAGCTTCTCTTGCCCTGGCCGTCCTGCCTGCCATGTCCGCCCCTCAGGCCAAGAGCTGAGCAGATGGGTGCCCCTCTCAGAGTCCCCAGCGTGGGGGGCAGTGCACCCCCCCCCCGGCTGCTGGCCCAGATGATTCCTCCTCAGATAGGCCCTGATGGCCTGAGACCTGCCAGGGGTGTCCAGGCCAGGTGACCCAGGCTGCCCCCCACCTCACCCTGCCACCTGCCCCCACCTCCCTGTCCTCACCAAGCCCTCGCAGCCCTGCCCCCACCGCCTGCTCCGCTGTCTGCCCGCCCAGGCACATTCAGACCCTGCACGGCCAGGCCGGTGAGAATCGGCAGATGAAGCCGATTGGGCAGCTGTCTGCAGAGCAGGGAGCCGCATCCTCGCTTGGCTGGGTCCCCTGGGACCGAGCCTGTCCTGGGAAGTGATCACAGGATTCAAGAATGTGCCGTTTCCGTCTCCAGCGCCCTCAAGATAAGAGTGACAGCGATGGTGGCGCCAGCCCTGCTGCCCCAGGAGACCACCCTGGGAGGGTGCAGAGTGACCCGGCCTCGCCCAGGGGAGTGGGGCCTCGGTTTCCCCCGACCCGGGTCACGTGGGGGTGGAATGGGGGCCTCCAGGAAAAGGCCAACCCGGTATTCTTTCTGGAATAAGGGTGTGGCCCAGGCTCTGGGAACAGTGCTCAGTTGTGGCCAGGCTGAGGGTGGGGGGGTGGTCACAGTCCTGGCACCCACGGAAGCCACGTGACCCACCATTCCGGCAGTGGCCTCGGGCAGGTGGGAGGGAAGCGGCACACGCCCTGGGCCGTGGTATGCCTCACACATTTGTTTCTGGGCCCTCAGTGGTGGCCTGACCCTCCATGGGTGTGTGAGGCCCGGGCGGGGGGGTGGTGAGGCCCATGTCGGCTTCACCCTCTCGTCCAGGCCGCAGTGTGATGGGCATGGGCACCGAGTGAAGAGCCCAGGCCATGAGGGAGAGAGGGGGCCAACTGGCCCCAGTTGCCTGGGGGCCCAGAGTGGCCAGCAACTTCTCAGCCGGGGACTTCGCATGAGTCACCTCTCCCTGGACCCTGGGTTTTCATCCAGACAACAGGAATGATGTGCCCCTGGGGCAGGACCAGCTCGGAGCCTAGACGAGGTCAGGTAAGAGCTGTGGCCGCCCAAGGGGGGGGTCCTGCCCGAGCTCCCAGTGCTCGGGCCCTTGTCAGCGATGGCTTCAGACCTCTGTCACCCATGAGAGGAGCCCGGAGCCCTCCTGACGACAACCCCCAGGCCTTCCCAGCTGGGCAGGCTCCTGCCTTACGGGGTCGGTAGGTGCAGAGATCCGCTGCTCAGGCATCACTGCCTTCTGCACTTGCCGCCCCTCTACTCGGGACCACACAGCAGGGTAGCTGCTCGGTAAAGGCCACGCTGCCCACGAGAGGGCTAGGCAGGGCGGCCTTGGCCTAGATCCCGCAGAAGCCGGCAGTGAGCGGGTCTCCTGCTCAGCCTGTCTGACCCTGGCCCACCGGGGGCATGGTGGGCTGAATAATGTCTCCCCACTCGGAACCTCAGGATGCGACCTTATTTGGAAATAGGTCTTTGCTGGTGTAATTAAGGCTCAAGATGAGGTCATCCTGGATCAGGGTGTGTCCTAACCCCAAGGACACATGTCCTTGTAGGGACAGAAGAGAAATTGGGCCCAGAGCTGGAGACCATGTGCAGATGGGGGCAGACGATGATGAGGCTGATGAGGCCACAAGCCAAGGAGCCTCTGGAGCTGCCGAAAGGCAGGTAGGGTCCTCCCCCAGAGCCATCAGAGGGCGCGGCCCTGCTAACACCTGGATTTAGGACTTCTGGCTCCAGAACTATGAGAATAAATTTCTGTTGCTTTGAGCCCTCCAGGCTGTGGGACTTCATGTGGCACCAGTGAGCTTGCTTCCCACCCAACTTGCTGAACTCTGGCCCTGGAGGGCCAGAGGTAGCCTAGACAAACCATGATGGGGACCAGAAAGAAGATCCAGACTCAGTTGTTAGATCCGGACTCAGTTCTTACGGAAACCTCAAAAGCCATAGCCCCCCACCCCACCGCTACCACCATGATCAGAGCTGCTGGGAGCAGAAGGACCCCTGCCCCCCAGGGTCACGGCTGCCACCACCAGTGGCTTTCGCCAAGGGCTCAGGCTACATGTGTGCTCCACAGCTCAGGATCGGGGGCTGTGGGAAGGACAGCGGGGGAAGGGGACAAGGTATATTATGTCCACTGTACGGATGAGCAGACGGAGGCTCAGAAGAGGACTTGCAGACAGGCAGGGACAGTGCTAGCCCTGGCCCTAGAATCCTGGCTGCTGACCCCTCTAGAGCCCTTTCCTGAAGCCTCCCTGCCCTGCCGGGCCCTCTCCCCCACAACCTGCCTCTCCCCTACTCCCCATCTCTGTTTCCAGCTTCATGGTTCAAAACCCTCCTACACGCAGGCCCCCTGGCCCTCAAGCCACTAGCATCACTGCCTCAGGGACCTGCCATGACGCCCGTGGCCCAGAGGCCAGAATCCAGCGTGGCTGTCGTGGCCCCCTTCACCAAGAAGCCCGTCCCATGCACCAGCCTCCTCACCGGCCCCTGAGCCGGGCCAGCAGCCTCACTGCACCGCACATGTGACGCGAGGCGCACCCCCACCCCACCCACCCCAGCCCCCCAGCCCTGCCTCGGTTGTGCTGGTCCCTCCGCCTGGAGGGCCCTTCCCCACATCTCTGCTGCTTCCTCGGACACTTCTCCACAAGCACTAACCAGAGCTCAGGGCTCGGGAGCCACCAGGGCCTCTGCTGCCCACTGTGGGCCTCCGTGTCCTCATGCGTGAAATGGAGATAGTGAGACCTTCCTCCCAGGGGTGCTGGAAAGCCCCTCCTTGGGACCTAAGCTACGGCAGAGGCTCAAGGGGCGGTGGTCCCGTCAAGGGCTCAGTGCACCTCCTCCTCCAGGGAGCCCTCCTCATACTTCCAGGGACGTGAACCTTGCCTTCCTCTGCCTCCTCTGGCATAGATGGAGATCTGACTGTCCCTACAGGCTGTCTGCGAGCTCCTTAGAGGCAAGGACTGTGTCACTCCTTTTATTCATCCATCCGTCCAACCATTTGCCAACAATTTAATAACCACTGGTTGCTTACGACTACAAGATAAAGTCGGTCCCTCGGCCTGGCCTTCAAGGCCTGTCCCAGCCTTTGCTTACTTCTTGAGCAGCCTGCCCCTGCTCCGAGTGCCCTACTCCTTCTGCCTGGGCTCTTCTCAGCGCCGACGTGTCCTTCAAGGCTCTGCTTGGACATCACCACCCCCAGAAACTTCTGCTCCCTCCCCCAGGGTCTCCATGCTCTCGCAGCTCCTGGCCATGTCCTCTGCACCCCTCATGTGGACCTGGCTGGTGCCGTGGGAGTTCCTACGGCCAGGGCGGTGTCTCCCTCCTCCTTGTCTTCCCTGCCCAGCCTAGCTAACGCCTGGCACAGAGAAGGGGCAGGGAGTGTTTGTTGAGTGAACAAGTGAGCAACGGGTGGCCTCTGCAGTGGTCCCTGGGGCAGAGGGCAGGCACACCCGTCTCATGCCTGCAGAAACCCGCAGGCCCTGGTGCCCTGGGCGCAGCCCCCGGGGCTGGGGAGCCAGACCTGGAGAGGCGTTCCGCTCGGCTGGTGCCCTATCTCGGGCCACATCTTGCCGCCATGGCGGCCGCTCCTCCCAGCCCAGTATCTGGGGCCCTCATCTCCCTGAGACGGGGCCAGGCTCGCCCTGACTTCTGCCCCAGTGTGGTCCTGCCCGGACGTCCTCCATTATCGCCCCACCACGCTGCTCCGCCCCAGGTGTGAAGCTGGCAGCTCCTCGCAAGCCCCCCGCTTGGAGTTTCCACCCTTCCTCAGGCTGCTCCAGCCTCCTGGGAACATCCCTACCTCCAGTCTGTCAGGGCCATCCAAGCCAAAGGCGGCCTCCTCCAGGAAGCTCTCCCGGTGTGCTGGTACGACCCGTCTGGTACCAGGGCAGGGATACAGTACTGTGGCGCAGGGGCCACCCCCACCCTCGGCCCTGGTCTCCGCCCTGCCACCCAGCCGCTGAAGACCGGAGCCCCACTCCCAGCCTCAGTCTTCAGACCTCCGGAAGGGGAAGAGTCAGGCCCGCAACTTAGAGCTGCCGGGAGGGTCAGGCAGGACGTCGTGCCCGGTGCCCCCAGCCACACAGCTCCGGGGTCCCAGCCCCCAAGCACCACCCCCCTCAGAGGCTCAGTGCAGGGCAGAGCCCAGGTGGGGCCACAGCCGCTCCCCCTGCCCCGACCGCTCCCCCACTCCCACCCGGGGCAGCCCTACCTTTCTGCCGGCCTCATTGTTGTGCAGGTTCATGAGGCGCCGTGCGTTCTTCTTGATCTCACGGGCGTCCACGAAGCGCCGGGAGAAGTCGATGCCGTAGCGCACGTCGGCCGAGCAGCCGCCCCACTTCCAGCCCTCGGCCTGGTTGTAGTAACCCTGCTTCTCGCGGTCACACCCGCAGTTGCTCAGGTTCCCCTGGCTGCAGGCGGCCGTGACGGCGTGGGCCACGCCGGCCGCGGTGATGGCATATGTGAAGGCGGCCTCGCGGCTCCCTGCGGGGGGGATCGGGTGCGCTCGGTGAGGCCCCGCGGGTCTCAGCCCCGTCCTGCTGCTGGCCCGCTGTGCGCCCCTGGCCTGGGCGCTGGCCCTCTCTGAGCTGCTGACTCAGCAACGTGGGGCCGACGGATCCCATCTTGCAGGGCCGTGGTGAGGACAGTGCCCCAGCCCTGCCACCAGCACGTGAGACCACCGTCACCTTGTCTCCCTGTCCCAGGAGCCTGGGCTGGAGAGGTGTAGTTTCCCCAACCTTGGCAGAGAGCCGTGGCAGGCCCTGCGAGGAGGCCTGTGGGGTCTGGGCCCCGCCCCCCTCCCCTCTGCCCGCCTCTGAGTGCTGCTCTTCGAGAACCAGCCACTTGTGCTGATCTCCGTGGCACACTCACCCACCAGCCGAGAAGCAGGCAGAATCCACGCAGCTCGGAGTGCCCCGACTCCAGGCTCTTTGTTGCCCCCTCCCTGTCTCTGACCACCCCGTCATCCCATCACTCCGCCCCAGCTCCCTGGGCCTCTCCTCTCTTCCAGCACCCCTGCCTGGATCAGAGACCCCCCTGAACTGCCCAGATCTTGGGTGTGCCAGTCCTCCCCGGCTCCCTCACGCCCCTGCCACCAGCCCGGGGGCCCACAGTGCCGTTTGGGCACCTCTACCCTGCACCTTCGCTGCTTCCCCTCTGCCTGAGCTGGGAAGGGAAGGCCCTCCGTCCGAGCCCAGGGGGCTTCCCCGTCCCTCTCTCCCCGTCCTCTGCCCAAAACAACAACTCTTTCCTTCCGCTGCTGCTCATGTGCTCCTGGGTTCTCCTGGTCTTTTTAATGGAATTTCCTTCCCCTTCCCAAATCCTAACGACCTTCCAAGGCCAGTTCCAATGCCGCCTCTTCCAGGTAGCCTTTCCAGACTGCCAGCCAGCAGGGGGCCCTGGCTGCCCCGTGTCTCTCTCTCTCAGTCACAGATCTGACTCTCTTTGCACTTGACCCCGTTCACCTGGTTAGCTCTGTCGCTGGGCTGTCCTGGCCCCGTAGGGGCCCATGGCCTCCCAGATGGATGGGTCCAGCGCTAATCCATCTTTATTCTCCACGGGCTCTGGCTGCGCCCTGGGCATCCTGCCTCCCTGGCCTGGCCTCTCTTGCCCCTGAGCTCCGAGGCTCTCTGCAGGCCACGGGCAGGTTTGTGTGGCCCTGAGCGGCTGGCACTCTGGGCGTGGAGATCAGTGAGGTCCCTGTGCTTGCCCAGACCCCACGCCTGTGACCACCGCTACCCCCGTTACTGGAGCTAGAGTGATCGCCCCCAGACTGAGAGAGGGTTGAAGGTCAAGTCATGTCCTTTCCGTGAACATCCATTAAGCACTGCCTGCATGCCCCCTGTGATCGGCCTTGAATATGCGCTCTGGGGTCCACCTCCTCACCTACCAGCCTGCTGGCGGGGAGCTTCCCCTGGGGGGCCCTCCCTCTGTGAGGTTCCTGTTCCCTGGGGTTTCTCCCATCGGGGCTGAGGACCAGGGTAGGACCTGCTGGTCTTGGAGGCCCAGTGTAGAGGAGGCTTTGGTTGACCTCTGCTGCCAAGGAGGGGCCAGGGCTCCCTGGAAACGTCCCTCCTCTGAGAAGAGCTAAGGGAGAGTGGTGTTGGGCATTCCTTCCCCCCCCAAGCAAGACTAGGTTCTGCAAAGGACACAGGGCTGCCACAGCCTTCCTGTCCAGCCCCTGCCCCTCTCCGGGTGCTTACTGCCCACACCGGCCCCCCCACCCCACCTGGGGTCAGTGCACGACCCCCCACGACCTGCCGACCCGCAGCATAGGGTTCTGCCCCCCTGCCACCACTCCTGTGAGAAGCGTCTCTCAGCACAGCTGCCCTTTGGGGAGCACCGAGGAGCCCCCGGCTGGGCACGTCAAGGTGGGCTGGCTGGGAGCTCCCAGGCAGACACAGGGTCAAGCACAGGGAGAATATGGGGCTCACCCTCCCTGGCTTCAAGTTAGGTCCAGGTGATCTGAAAGGAAGGGCATCGGGTTACTGAGCTCCCTGCTGTTGCTGGCCTGCTGACAAGCTCACGCACATGGACGCATGAGGCTCACACGGCAGGGGAGCGTGCAGTAAACTATGTCGGGGGTTCCAGGAGAGAAGGTGACCACAGAGCTCTGCGGGAAGGGGCGCAGGGGTCAAGGAACCTCAAAGGGTGTCCCCACCTGCCTCTGTGAGGGGCGGAGTCAGGGAAGGCTTCCTGGAGGAGGTGACACTTTCGGTTAAGGGAGTCTTAACAAGAGGTTAAAGTTAACTCCCTGCAAGTGCATATGAGTGTGTGTGTGGCATGTGTACGTGTATGGCGTGTGTCTGCGGAGTGTCTGTGTGGCCTGTGGCCGTGTGCAGTGGGTGTGTGCACTCCTGGCAGTGGGCATGGCAGGACCAAAGGTGCCAAGGTGTGAAACAGTTTGCTGACCTGGAGCTAGAAGTATGAGCTCAAGCGTAAGAAGGAAAGAGGCCGTCGAGATCTAGGGGGAGCCAGTCGTGGGTAGCCGGAGACATCCCCTGAAGCGCACGGTGCTTTCTGTCCTGGTGCCGGGGCCAGGGCGGTGGACTTGGTGCCCGAGCCTGCTCTGGCTCTGGGAACGATGGAGAGAGCCGGCCCCAGAGCTGAGCTTCCCAAATCATTGCTCTCACTCACCAGCTCTCCCTGTGCGCCAGACACCCTCACACTCACGTGTGAGCCCCTCAGACTAGGGGTTAGCGGCCGGAGCAGGATCTGAACCCAGGCAGTGGCATCAAAACCCTCCAAAGCGAGGGAGGGTCTCTTTGCAGCTAAGCGACTTTGGGCAGAAGAGAGGACAGAAGAGGCACCGACGGGGGCCCTTGGGGAGGAAATGCCGCTTTTGGACGATCTGTGAACCTTGGGGCCCAGCGACTGGTCAGCAGGTGAACGCAGGTGGGAGCCAGCCTCACGGAGGGCACGTCCCAAGCTCGGCGCCTGGGAGGTGGGGTGGAACGCTCAGAGGATTGCGCGATCACACCCAGAGGCCTGGCCGACGGCGTTACCAGTCCCACGACCAAGCCCTGCCTGAGTTGGGACGGTGTGGGTGTTCCCTCGGAGGCCCTGGGACCTGCCACCCGACCCTCCTCTGCCCAAAATTCAACCTGGTGCCTCCCACGCCCCGCTGTCCCGAAGCCCCCAAGCAGGTAAACAGGCACAGAGGCCCGTGCGCTCGGAGGACATTTCTCGAAAGCCTCCCTTCCATCCATTGTGCGAGTTCCTGGCATCCCCTGGTTCATACCCATGCCCAGCAGACTCCCAGTTACTCATCAGTTACTCACAGGGTGGCCACTCCCACTAATTTCTTTTTTACTTGGTTTTAATGAGCCAAACCCTCTGTCTCGCCGTGAAGACAAGGGGGCGGTGATCGGGGAGCAAGTGGCGTTTGGGGGAGAATCACGGAAGGTGACATTAGGTCTTAGATCGGGGGCTTCACGGCCCCCTGCTCTCTGCACACACACCTCATGTCATTCACACGACAGCCCCACGGGCTGGGAGCATCACTGTGCCCACCCACAGAGCTGGATGCTGCCTCGTGGGGCTTCACAGTGTGTGCGGGCATGGGGGGTGGGGGACAGTCACTTCTGGGGCCATTTGCCAGCCCCCGGTGCACTGCCTGCGCATCCTCCTCCCGAGGAGAACGAGTGGGTGTTGGGTTTAGAAAGAAGCCCCTCGAACTTCTGGGCTTGCTCAGCAAACGCGGGTAGCTCGCCAGACCTCTGAGACGACTTCAAGCCCCTAGGATCTGACCCCACCCATCCCCACCTGCCATTCCCCCCAGCCTCGCTGGGCCAGGCCCCCCCCGGGGGGCAGATGCGGCTGCCTTCAGTGCACACCACTAGCCTTGAATAGAGGATCCGCCTGGTTCCCTGATGCCTGCCCAGGTGGGCGCTGGCCCGCTGCTGCCCAGGTCCACGCGGTCCACAGCTCCCCGCGCTCGGACACAGCGGGGATGCCCCTGCTCCCAGGAGCCCCGACAGGGTGAGGCAACCTCCTCTGCGCTCCTGCCAGTGCCCCTTGGGCTGTAGGGGTGGAGGGCTGGACCCAGGTCTGATGACTTTGTGTCCCCCCCAACATTGTCCCCAAGCCCTGCACACGAGCAGGTCTGGGGCTGGGCGCTTTACACACTTTGCCTTCTTTTACCTCCATGGCAACACCCTGAAATCAGTCCGGTTGCTCAGACCATCTCAGGGAGGGACGGGAACACTGAGCCAGCCTCCAGGCGGGAAAAGCTCCGCTCCAGGTGACGGGGACAGCGGCCATCTGAGCTCAGCAGCTGCCTCAGGTGTGTCTGGTGACGGGGAGCTGGGTAAAGGCTGCACGGGTGGTCTGCTTGCGTCCAGCAGCAGTTTGGGGGGGCACACATTATTCCCGGGAGGCCCAGGGCCCCTCCTGGGATCCAGAGCCCACCCCAGCACGGATCCGCACCCTCCGACGCCGGAGCCAGCATCCGCATCCGGCAGTATCCCTGGGAAATGCTAGAGGCAGGCAGGCTGCTCGTTGGCTGCCCCCACCTCCGTGGCCTCATGAGCCCTGGGTGGGTCCCTGCACACACTGGCCCTGAGGCAGTCACTGCTATTTCCAGGGCCATCTGCTTCTGGTGCCTGGCAGGTCAAGGCGAAAACCATTGCGAGAACCTGCAAGGCCCAAGGTGTCAACAAAGCGAGTGAAGAGTGGGACACTCAGGCCGGAATAGGCAGGAGAGCACTGGACCTGAAGTCGTACCTGCTGTGCAGCTCTGGGCAAGTCACTCACCCTCTCTGAGCCTGTGTCCCCAGCGGCCCAGTGGGACTCACAATTCTCACCTGCTCCACTGCCCCAGGAGCAGCTCTGAGAACAAACAGGACAGACGGGCATCACCCCAAATGGTGAGCAGGCCTGAGGAGGCTGGGGTTGACCAGGTAAAGCCCAGGGCTTCCAGAACAAGCCCAGACATCACTCTGCTTCCTCCCAGGGGCTGGCCCTGCCCCGCTAACCCCTCCCCA